GTGTGTGTGTGTGTGTGTGTGTGTGTGTGTGTGTGTGTGTGTGTGTGTGTGTGTGTGTGTGTGTGGGAGGAACAGACTGACAGAGATTGATGGTGAGGGGAAAGCAGGCCATTATGTTGTGTAGCTAAAGCAGTGATAGCCTCTCCACCTCACTGTCTGTTTAAGCTCCTGGCCATTTTAGAGGTGTGGCACAACCGACCACAGAGCGCACACACACACACACACACACACACACACACACACACACACACACACACACACACACACACACACACACACACACACACACACTCACACATATTGACTCTCCTACTTTTAAATGCTGAATTTGGCTGAACCTTGGACTATTTAAAGGCACTAATACCATCTCTAATTAAGGGCAACGGGGCATGTTGATGAGCCAAACAACTTTTTCTACAATGCTTTTATGTCCAACATCACAGTGAAATAAAACTGGAAAACTCTTTGACATCTTGAAGAGGATCCCCCAAGAAAAAAAAACGACACACTTTCACTTCGTCGGGTTTTGAATGTGGTTGAAGGTCGTACCCGTGAGCAGCTGCAAGTCGACCAAAGCTGCATCTTTCTCTGTGAGAGTGAAAGAAGCCCCTGCTCCCCGCAGAGCTGAGCAGCAGCCTCAACAAGTCAGCCAGCAGCAGCCTCAGCAGGGACAAGGTCAGGAGGCATGCCTTCAAAATAAAAGCGATTTTAAAAAACATTCACAAAGGGATCTGCAAGTTCTGGGTCCGCTAACAATAATGGATTCAAATAAAACAGGAAAAAATAACTATGTTCTACAGTGAGTGTCTTGATTCTTCCGTATCCTGCTGGTGCTCACGAGTCACTGTTCTGCATGTTTTGGTTGTTTCTCTGCTCCAACAAATCTGTTTCAACGGTTTAATCACAACAGAGGGCCAGCAAGCTCTGCAGAAACCCTCTAATCATCAACTGATTTAAACCAGGTTTGATAGAGGCAGACAAACCTTTAAATTTTGAAGACACCTGCACACATTTTCACACTAAAGGCTCATTTAAAAGCTGCATCTAACCAACCACTTTTGGGCCCACGTGGGGTGGAACAATAGAAGCAATGGAAACTTCTTAAATTCAAAGGTTTCTCTGCTCTGACACACCAGATTTTAACTGGTGGGTGATTCGCAGGCTCGTGCAGAGCTTGATCACCTGCTGAAGAGGTGATTAAACAGTTGAATCAGGTGTGTTGAAGCAGGGAAACAACTAACACACACTGGACATTGGCTCTTGTGGACCAGGTTTGGAGATCCCTGCAAAAAGACTGACACTTTCTCTCTAGCAATGCATCAGTTCAACTCATCACAAAGCAAAAAGTAAAATAAATATAAATGCAACTGATTCTTTTATTCTCTTAGAATAAAACTTAATAAACATTATTAGAAGTGAAGAGACTTTATGGATCCCACAGGGGGGAATTCACTTGTTACAGCAACAACACCACTTAAAGAGCGAGTCTTACTCCACCCCCACTTCCTGCAACAAATGCTTTTGCCTGGCAGACCGAGAGGGCGGAGCGGCTAACAAGTACACACACACACACACAGGCCTACAATGGCACTGTGACATTATATGGTTCCAGCTGACATCATAGGGTGCCTTTTAGCCAAAAGAGCTCCAGACATCACGTGACTCTCAGAGAGTAGACGCCATGTTGGCAGGCAACAAAGGTAAACAAAAGGAACGGGGTCGGCTTGGATTTTACTCCGTCGGAGTTTACTTCACACTTTAAAAAGGAAGAAATCGTTTTATATAGTCAGAAATTAAATAGACTAAACATCTCCGACCCTTACCGTGCCCCTGGGATACTTTTTTAAAAACGCCAGAAGCTGTCGTAGCGGACCTCTTACCGGATATGAGATGCCCTGACATTTATAATTTATAAAACGAATTAAACAAAAACACAAATAACATATTTACACATAAGTAGTTTAAATAGAGTACTGTGCTGTTTGAATGTATAAACTGAACTCCAAGAGAAATCACTAGTTTGATTTTTTTCCGTGAATAAAATAAATATGTCAGGCAGGAGCGTCTCAGGATCTGTCTGAGATCCGTCTCGGTGAGACAGATAATAGCAATCCAAAGTGCTTTTTATGTGTGATCTGACAATTGATCAACCATTGCTTAAAAATTAAATACAGCTTAGCCGGTTAATTGCTGTGATCATAAAACACGTAAACGGCAGCACGCAGAACTCACGAGGCAACGTTTTACGTGACGTTTACTTGTTGCTATGAGTAATAAGACAGAAAAAGCCACGCCAAAATAAGTTAAGGAAGCCCACTAAGAATTGTAATAAAAGCATTTAAAATAAATACCATACACAGATGAGGAAACGTGGGTTTAACTACCTGATATGAAGCGGTCGCTGCATAAGCGAAAACCTTTACTCTCGGGATCCCACAGTTTTATTTTAGCCCGGTCACTAGCGCGTTTTATTACAATGATCCAACGTTTGCGGCGTTCCGGATCTTGGGGAATCCTGTAGATGGCTCATTCCTTATGTCGTCCGCGTCTGTTCTGCATCCTGGGGCACAACAGGAATCTACCATATTTCCCGTCTGATTGAGTTTTCTGACAATAACAAATAGTCCAGCTGCGGGCTTCTGCCTGCCAATATGGCGCTGTTCGATTTGAACTGTTGCATGCCGGGAGAAGTGAGGTCAGCTCCCGGAGCTCTATAGTGATAGCGATTAAATTCAAATGCAGGGCTGAGTTTTACCGGAAAAGGGCGTAACACTGACAGTTTAGGCAGAAAATTTAAATTTTTACTATGATACTCTAAAGTGCCAAATTATTGTCTACACATGTCTACAGCACGATTAGACACTCATTTATATAGTTACCAGCACAAAAGTTGATTTGGGGGTGACTTGCTCTTTAAGAAAACAATAACAGGTACAAGTATAAATACATAGGCATAGCTATATTGTAACCTTCGACCACTAAAAGCCACAAATAAAAAAAGGAAGAACTTGGGTTCTGGAACTATGCAGCATACTGTGAGAAACAGTCATACTATGTAAATCTGGTATTGCAGTTATTGAACACATACTGAGTATTGCATGGATGTTATTGTGTACCAGGATAATGCCGGTAAAGCTTAAAATGAGGAGTTATACTCTTTCTGCAGAGGGGACGAAAGATTTATGGTAGCATTCTGTTTTACATCTGGGATGTCTCGGTCTGCTTCTGAAGGAGCTGTCCATGGCCTCCATAGTGGAACGCAGTAGGTGGGAGGGGACTTTTGAGATGTTTAAACTTCTGTAATCCAGGCCATTCCCCTCAGACATGTGGCCGACAATGGCCAAGTCATCAGAGAGCTTCTGGAGCTGTCAGCTGCTGGTGTTGTAGGTGAAGTCCCGGGAGTAGAAGGTGAAGAGAAAGGGTGAGAGCACCGTACCCTGCGGAGCTCCAGTACTGCACACAACCACCTCAGACATACATTGTGCAGCCTCACATAATGTGGCCTGTTGGTGAGGAAGTTGGTGGCCCATGCGGGCAGACGTTCATCCACTCCTGCACCCCTCATGGTGTTGAAGGCACTTGAGAAGTGGAAGAACACGATTCTGCATTAAATGTAAACATCATGAACAACAGTTTGTTATTTTCTTTGTTCGTTCTTCGTCTTCCTCCGCTTATCCGGGTCCGGGTCGCGGGGGCAGCATCCCAACTAGGGAGCTCCAGACCATCCTCTCCCCGGCCACCTCCACCAGCTCCTCCGGCAGGACCCCAAGGCGTTCCCGGACCAGATTGGAGATGTAACCTCTCCAACGTGTCCTGGGTCGACCCGGGGGCCTTCTGCCGGCAGGACATGCCCGAAACACCTCCCCGGGGAGGCGTCCAGGAGGCATCCTGACCAGATGCCCAAACCACCTCAACTGGCTCCTTTCGATCCGGAGGAGCAGCGGTTCTACTCCGAGACCCTCCCGAATGTCCGAGCTCCTCACCCTATCTCTAAGGCTGAGCCCGGCCACCCTACGGAGGAAACTCATTTCGGCCGCTTGTATCCGCGATCTCGTTCTTTCGGTCATTACCCAAAGCTCATGACCATAGGTGAGGATTGGGACGTAGATCGACCGGTAAATCGAGAGCCTGGCTTTCTGGCTCAGCTCCCTCTTCACCACGACAGATCGGCTCAGCGTCCGCATCACTGCAGACGCCGAACCAATCCGCCTGTCGATCTCCCGATCCCTCCTACCCTCACTCGTGAACAAGACCCCGAGATACTTAAACTCCTCCACTTGAGGTAGGACCTCTCCCCCGACCCGGAGGTGGCAAGCCACCCTTTTCCGGTCGAGAACCATGGTCTCAGATTTGGAGGTGCTGATCCTCATCCCAACCGCTTCACATTCGGCCGCGAACCTACCCAGCAAGAGCTGAAGGTCAGAGCTGGATGAAGCTAGGAGGACCACATCATCCGCAAAAAGCAGAGACGAGATTCTCCTGCCACCAAACCCGACACACTCCACACCACGGCTGCGTCTAGAAATTCTGCCCATAAAAGTGATGAACAGAACCGGTGACAAAGGGCAGCCCTGGCGGAGTCCAACCCTCACTGGGAACAGGTCCGACTTACTACCGGCTATGCGGACCAAACTCACGCTCCTCTGGTAAAGGGACTGAATGGCCCTCAACAGAAAGCCACCCACCCCATACTCCTGGAGCGTCCCCCACAGGGTGCCCCTGGGGACACGGTCATAAGCCTTCTCCAAATCCACAAAACACATGTGGATTGGTTGGGCAAACAGTTTGTTATTTCCTAAATTAAAAGCACTCGCCACACAACTTGACACATTTCAAACACGAACGTGCCTGCTTGACTTAAAAGCACACGCTCAAGTCTTGTTATAACAACAGTAGCCAACTAATGCTAAAAGTGCGGTTCAAAAAAGACAGAACACAACAGCAGTTTCCTGTGTTGAGCACTTTTATTTTGAAATCCGTCACCGGAACAGCGCTGTAGCGGCGTGGTGTTTGACTTGACAGATGGCAGGCGGGAGACGCTCTTCTCAGCTGTCTCCCTCGGTCCGTTGGTCCGTCCCGGTTCCCATTGTCTCCCCTTTTTCCCCACTTCTTCAAATCAAGACCGAGACGACCAACTGAAGCAGCCCTGGTGCGGCTCTCTCCGCCTTTTGCGCTTTTGGACACTTCCAAACGACACTCAGCGTTCCCTTCGGGACACGCTCATCAGTGTTATTATATTTATTTATTTGTTTATTTAAAAATATCGGTACTGTAGAGATGTTTTGTGTATATTGTGACAGAGGAGGCTGCGAGTGACGCGACCGGTGCGCTGACGGATCTTCTAATGAGCGGCGTTGCGGAGATGAACCGGAGGAAGGGGACTCATTAGCCACACAAGCCGCTGAAAGCATCTTCCAGAGGGCTGTTGACGTCTCCCAGAGCCCTAGCAGCAAATCTAGTCGGCGTCGTCTCCGGATAAGTCACAAGACTCAGTGTTTGAAACTCAAAAGAGGGCGTTTGGCCGGAGGATGCTGCCGCTCCGTGCGCGCTTCTTCCCTTGAGAGTAGGGAGTGCGTCTCGTCTGGGAGACGAGGCAGGGACCACCTTCACCTGTCTTCTTCACCTGACATCAGGCTCCTGTGATCAGATGAACGCACGAGGCGCTTAATCGGATTATTAGGCAAGAAATCTGAACAGATAATATCACCTTCTGTCTGATTTCTTTCCCAGTGTCTACGCGGCTGCTCTGGAGGATTGTGTCCGTTTCAACGCGGTTGAGGATGCGACTAAACGTGGTGATCCCGATTATTAGTCCATTAGGTGATGTCCGGACAAGTGGACCCTGAGTGGACGCGGTTGTGACCTTTTGTCTTTACTAGGAGTGTTTTTCACACCTCAGATCCGATTCGTGCAATCTGAGAGGAGACCTATTTACAGAATATGTCTGGGGATTAATCAAGCTGCAGATAATAACTGCTGGACCCGAACTGACCCCAGATCCCACTTCCCATCTTTGATCCGTGACCTCCATCTATCCAGGGGACCACTTTAGGCTGTTACCATCGGAATGAAGTAGTCACCTCTGATTGCCCTGAGCACCAGAGAGCACTTGCTGTTGGCGAGACAACCCCTCCCTGGGCTGTTTTAGGATTGTGAAAGACACGATTTGGGAGTTATCTGGACTTTTTTGCCCCAGGTGGACCACATAGCAGAGAGAGGAGGAAGGACATCATGGGGTGCTGCAGCGGCAGGTGCACCTTGGCCTTCGTCTGCGGCATGCAGCTGGTAAGTGCTGAGATTACTATTGATTCTGTGAAGATAATGATCGGTCAGGAGAGAGAAAAAGGTTCTTTAAAACTCTTGTAGCTCAGCACACAAACAAGTTGCTGTGGTGAACGATTTCCACATTGATGTGTAGCACAAAAGTTCAGGAGATAATATGTTTCGAAAGGGTCATAATACCAGGTATTATGTTGCTTTAGATGAATAAAATCCACTTTTGAAGGGAGCTGTGGGACTGTACTAGAGATCTGCCGTGACCTTTGATGGATTGAGAAGAGACAGATGAGACACAAACGTATTTTGGCCAGATCAGCGTGAGGTGCAGGGGGCATATGGAGAACAATGCCAGGAAAGGAGGAGACCGACGTAAAGCATCAACAGTTGTAGATCTGTCACTCAGCTTGCTGCTCTTTCTTTCTCCTGTCACCATCTGTGGTGTTGGGAGCTGATACCAGGCTAGACAAAAGGCAGAAAAAGATGCAAAGCCTACAAGTGAGGATTTTTTTTTTCAAAAATCACAAAAAACAGAGGAGAGTCTGTCCCAGAACCCTTAGATAAACCTGAAGCAGTGGTCACGTTTTAGGGGTTTTAGGACAGGATGCTATTTAGACTCTTTAGAGCCGGTGTCAGCTGTAGCACTGCTCCTTGTCCTCTCTGCCACTCAGGCTGCCGTGGAGTCGCCTGACCGTCAAATCAGAAATATTTGGAGGCACATTGTGACCTCTGTGGTCCTCCCTTTACAGCAGAGTGGCTCTTTGACACTGAATTACTAACTGACGCATGCACTTCTTTAAAAATTATGAAAATCAGTCGTTTTGTTTTGAAACTCGACCAGCTTATGGTTGGGGGGGCGTGGGGGGGGGGGGCACAATACGTTTCATGGAAATTTTTTTGTAGCTCAACAGCGACGGTGGCACAGGAGTTAAGCGCTCGCCCCGTAATCAGAGGGTTGCAGGTTCGAGCCCTGCTCAGTCTGTCGCTGTCGTTGTGTCCTTGGGCAAGACACTTAACCCACGTTGCCTGCTGGTGGTGGTCGGAGGGACCGGTGGCGCCAGTGCTCGGCAGCCTCGCCTCTGTCAGTGCGCCCCAGGGCAGCTGTGGCTACATCGTAGCTCATCCCCACCAGTGTGTGAATGTGTGTGTGAATGGGTGAATGACTGATTGTGTTGTAAAGCGCCTTGGGGGGTTCCAGGACTCTAGAAGGCGCTATATCAAATACAGACCATTTACCATTTACACCCGGCGGTTATAAAAGCAACAGCAGAGGAGACTCGTTTAAGGTGCTAAACCACAGAGGAAGAGATGTTTAGACGTTACGGTGGAGCCGTCACATGAGAATGACTTTTGCTGAGGTGAAAGATCCGAGAACATGCCTTCGTGGTTCACATTCATTCTAATGTTCTGTCGTTAGTTCAAATTGCTGCTGGAGCGATGTTGAAGCAGGAGCAAGCCAAATATGGCACAGAAGTGCTACGAGCAGGAAGTGCCCCAATTTTGGATTATAAATAGTATTATCAATTATTATTGGGTGGCGGGGTTCAGATGAACGTGTCTATGATCAGATCAAATACTCTTATTTCACATGAAAGAAAATGTAATAAAACAGACAGGAAAACGTTGCTGCTGTTTAGTGAATAATATTTACTCAAATGACTGAATAACTGCTTTCAAATGTGTGTTCTTTTAGATGCTTTTCAACTTTTTCATATTTTTAAATCTTTTTCCTAAGCCACTATGTGCTAAAATGACCCTTTATCTGGTTAATGAAAGGTTGCTCAGACCCCACTGCCCATGTGGCCAGAATACCACACTTGCAACTTCAGAGTTGGTGGCTGCTACCTGCTGTTGGAGGGAGTAGTGGGGTGGAGTGGAGCTGACATGGTGGAGCTGGAGTCTGTATCTAGCATGTTTACTGCAACGCAGCTGATTTGTTGGATTTAGTAATTAATTGCTCCTTTAGAAACTAATGAAAACTGGGGAGACATTAAAGTGTTAAAAAACAAACTCACAGCAAGGGGATGAGTTTCATTTTCAGTTTAACTACAGTGAATGCATGACGGGCACTAGGGGGTGCTAAAAGCAAGCAAACTACCAAGTATCCCTTTAAAATGTGTCTGTTTTGTTCACAGATAAAGGGATAGTTCCAAAAATTAAAAATAGGCTTTTGTTGGGTGGTTTTGTACAACTAACATCTTATCTGTAGACAGCTCTTTCACTAACCTCAGTTTGGAGAAACAGAGATTAGTTCTGTTCTGTTTTATACATCTTTACACTATTGTCACTTTTGCATCACCTAGATAACTGCCAGAGGTTCCTCTGAGGTTCTTCTGGTCCATATTGACATGGCAGCATCACATAGTTATATCCGCAAAGTTAATCTCCTGTTCCACCACATCTCTACATTTCTAGACTGAGATCTGTTGACTGTTGTGGTGTTAAAAGTAGCCAGTTAGAGATCGCCTGAGGTTTGTGACATGGTGGAAGCTGAAAAACGCTACAAAACCATGGACTGATGGTGACCTGGCTTTGTTGCTACTGGACTTGTAAGTAATAATATTGTTTGTCCACTAGTGTGGATCTTTTTGATTCGTGGCTTATTTAGTATGGCTTGGCTCATGTTAGTGTGTTAGCATTAGCCACAGCAGGCTGCAGCAGGGTTGTTCACAGTAGTTGTAATTCCACTTTCAACCAGTAGGACAGAAGAGCCCTGCTCTGTGCTGCTTTAATAATTGCTCCTTTGGTGCATATGTCAGGCTGAATACTCTGAAGGCTAACGCAGGAAATGAAAGAAACCAAACTAGACAGCTCTCTGAAATGTTTCCATGACGAAAGGACTCTTACACACATTTCTCCATGTGTGTCCAGAAAGTGAGCACACACCTTGACACACTTAGTAATGGAACACTGATGCACAAACCCAAAGAGGAAAGCCGCCGCTGTGGCATTCTGGGCATGGGAAAATAATGTGCTGTATGCGACCTATTGAGACGATGAATTGGACTCTTTTACAGCCCCCACAAATCATTGTGTGTTCAACACAAAAGGGAAAATATTGGAAAATCACCCATAAGTTATTTTGTGCCTGACCTATATGAGAGTCTACGATTCTAAAAAGCCCCATAGAGCTGTGAAATAGGACATCTCTGAGCACATTTTCATTTGAATAAGAGATGCAGTCGTACTAGTGAACATGTCTACATCTGAATAATGTTGCCACACGCGGTCTGCACGGATGAAACACACCACTGTGCTGTAAATGGCGATGCTGCGTGTTCCGATGGGTGTTATAATGGGAGTGTGTGTGTGTGTGAATGAGATTCTGTCACAGAGATAGTCATTGCGTCTAATGCAGTGGAACTAATGCTACGCCGTAGCAAACAACACGTTTTGCTCTGTTAACTGTTGCAACAGCTAAGCCAGCTGATGCCGCCGCTAGCTGAGCTAGAGGTTGAACACTACTGTACACTACAGCTCGGTTATGCACAGTTAGCCGTGTTGCCATTCAGACAGAAGCCTCCACGGCATTTCTTTTCTCTTAAAGGACGCTCACTCCAAGATGTGAAGGTGTTTCCTCCTCTGCTGAAAGCAAAGTTTGTTTATCACAAATTGCGTTTAATTGGTTTGGCTAATAGGCGACTTTGCAGAGAACAGAAAAGAATAATTTCTTCTGCTGTGTCTTAAGTAGTAGAGATGACAGCTTGTGAAACTTAACAGCAAATTTCACCCCGCTTCATTAGTTAGGTTAATTGCAAAGAGCTTTTGCAACCACAGCTGAGCAGAGATCAATGATCCAGGCTTGGAGATAAATCTTCTTCCCAGCTGACACCTCCGTGTGTCAGACACACTCAGTTCAGTCATGGCTGATGCAAAATAAAAGGAATTCATTCATTTGTTCGTGACGTTAGGAGTTACGTATGGCTTCAGTCACTGGCTGGTTTTACGCGGTCCCAGATGGAGTTGGTGTTGTCATCATCACAAGAAAACATTTGCTTTGTTTTGATTTAATTTTGACTGAAAGTCAACCTAAAACGTTAAAATTTATAAGCTATTGGAAAAAGGAAATCAATGCTCATTACGGGTGAGTTACCATCACAAAATTAAAGGAAAACAGTTGTTGCTGCTGAAAGCTACGCAGCAGGACTTAAAATAAGAGGCAAAAACAACAGAAGCTGTTGCGTCCTGAGCCTCTTCATCATCAGTGAGTCAAACAGAACATAAATGAGATATTAAACAAAAGCTCAACTCTGTTATGTGGTGAGAAATATGAAATCTAGTGTAAATTTAGGGATGTGAATCTTAGAGCAACTCACGATTTGTAGTGATGTGTTGGTCGCGAACGAACCGGCTCTAAGAGCCGGCTCTTTGAAGTGAACGACGGGAGCCGGCTCGTCATTGGGAGCCGTCCCCTCCCCTCCCCCCCTCCCCCCTGCCTTGGTGAAAGCTACAGGTCAACATGTGTAACTGCGTGTCCAGACCGTCCACACAGAGCAGTAGGGGCGGGGAAGAGGAAGGATCAGACTCAGACACACAGCAGAGCACATGCGAGTGAAAGGAGACAAGAGGGAATGAGGAGGAGAAAATAGGCGAGCAAGAGGGAGGGGAGTGCGACAAAGACGGTGAGAAAATGAGCGCCAGCAGTCGGAAAGTGGAGATTTCTTAAAGTGTTCAGTTATTAAATTCATAGAAATGATAAATGTTTGATATATTGCTATTTTTTTACATTAGTAAATTATTTTACATATAGTTTAGCATTATTTTGGTTATAAATGTACTCTACGCAACAGAAAATCTGAGGAGCCACTTAGGAGCCGAAAGAGACGGCTCTTTTTGTGAGCTGAGCCAAAAAAAACCGGCTCTCTAATAAGAGCCGGAATTCCCATCACTAACGATTTGATTCGATTCAGAATCGATTCTCGATTTAAATCGATTCATAATCAGTATTAACAAAGAGTGTCAGTTCAAGGATTAACTCCTTTGTTGTACAAGTTAGTTAAAGCTGTGGG